ATTCTTTTCAATAAAGTTGGAGATTCAATATTGATCTTTGTAATTGAAGGTCTAATGACTAATTTGCCTTACGAACAAGCTACCATGGATAATCATTAGATAAAAGAATCTTCTGGCTCTTTAAAGGATGTCCATGTGAGTTGTTTATTATTCGACGCATCATTATGACTCCTGGATGTTCAAGTCGATCATGTCAAAGTATAAAACTTTTTGAATCAACGAACTTCTGGTTCGTAACATTATTTGATTCGACCATTTTTATAAATGTAAAATACATGCTAGACGGGAGTGCATGAAATTTTTCTTTTATCTGCTTCTTGCCAGATACAAAAGAAGTGATGCAAAGATATTCAACATTATTTTCTTGCATCGTCTCAATGTGATATTCATTGCAGTGAATATATTTAAAACTAAGCAAATTTCTTATGGATTTGCTAGAATAAAGTGCATCGTCAATATATAATTTTGTATTATTTGGTAAAATAATACAAGCTCTTTCGGAGCCTTCAACGATATTCGACGCACCCGATATCGTGTTAACATTATTTTCAGCTAATATTAAATCCAAGAAGTATTTTTTGTCTTGAAGAATAGTATGTGTAGTTGCACTATCAATTAAGCAGTTGTCTTGACTATCCATCATGAATCTATAAATATAACAAAATAAACAAAATTTAAAAAAAAATTGAATTTAGATTTAAAGAAGTAAACATTATTTAATATCATGAAATAAACGGTGCATAATAGAGTTTTATTTATTTATTTTTTTGTGCGGAAAAGTAAAAATATATTTCAGACTGAATTTTTAAAACAAATGAAACACTAGTAAATTAGTCTATATCTTCTATCACACCACCCCCAATCAAATGATCAATATTTCCATTTGGATCAGTAAAGAAATCGGAGACATCCAAATGAGTCACATCAATTGGACCATCATAATCAGCAAAATTAGTCTCCAATTTTTCTTTTCTCTTGATTGATCTTTGGTAGAGATCCACAAGATGTTTTGAGGTACGACACTTACGTGTCCAATGCCCTTTCATTCCACATCTGAAGCAACTTTCTTCATGCTCCTTTTTAGATTTGCCACTCTCGTTTGCTTTGTGCATTTTGAATTTATTGCATTGTTGTTGATAACTTTGTTGATTATTTCTTCCATGATTTATTCCACGTACATGTCCGTGTCCGTGTCCACGTTCACGTCCACGTCCTTGTCTTGATATTATATTTGTTTCAGACAATATAGTATCATTTGCTTCAGGCAATGGTACAGAACCAGTTGGACGTAATCCATGATTTTTCATCAACAATTCATTATTTTGTTCAGCAACTAGTAGGCAAGATATAAGTTTTGAGTACTTTTTGAAGCCACGCTCATGATATTGCTGCTGCAGGAGCACATTCGAGGCATGAAAGGTGGAGAAAGTTTTTTCCAGCATATCTTCATTGGTAATTTTTTCTCCACACAAAGTCAACTTTGAAAATATTCTGAATAATTCAGAATTGTACTCACTAACTGTTTTAAAGTCTTGCAAACGAAGGTGCATCTACTCATAACGGGCTTTGGGGAGGACTATAGTTCTCTGATGATCAAATCTTTCAGTTAACTTTTTCCAAAGAACTTGTGGATCTTTCTCAGTGAGATATTCAATTTTTTAATCTATCGTGAAGATGGTGACGGAGGAAAATGAGTGCTTTTGCACGATCCTGCAGGGATTCATTGCTTCCTTCTTTTATTGTCTCTCCCAGACCCTTTGAGACGAGATGGATATTAGCATCCAGTATCCATGACAGATAATTTTTACCAGATATGTCAAGTACAGCAAACTCAAGTTTCGGAATGTTTGCCATTTGTTTAACTACACAATAAAAAATACAATTAGTTTCGAAAAATATGATTAATCGTCACATGTTAATCAAATAGTCAATATCAACATGACTTTAAGTTACGTGTTTTCCTCTAGGGATAAACACTAATTTGAAATAATATGTTATTCGAAACATATGCTACTTCTGGAGCACATTTTTTTTTGCTATTATTTCTTCAAGTGCAATATGTCAATATTTTTCTGGAATATTGATAGTTATAATTTATGCTCTTCAGGAGCAAATAATATTCTTATAATGTTGTGCTACTTCTGGAGCAACAACGAATGGATCTATGATTAATATTCTTCTGCAACATTAATTATAATGTTGTGCTACTTCAGGAGCAACAATAATTAAAAATAAATTTAATATAATGTTTCATAACTAAACGTAAAAAAAAGATAATACATTCAATTGCTCACCATTAATTAATATACAAACACATGTAAAATATTATTTTGAATTAATAACGTGAGTCGAGTGAAACACAAAAAAAAAATTTGGTGATGAAAAAATATTAATTAATTCAAAAAGAGGTATAAAGAAAATATAATGATCGAGAAAGATGAGATCACGTATTGCAGATTTAACATATGTATATGTAAAATTCACGTATTATCAAATTAATTTTGATATACGTGATAAATGATTATGAAAAAAATTACTACCTTTTAAGAGTTTCGTACTGATAACGTGTTATAAAATGAGAGGAAAAGAGAATAGAGAAAACTCAAAGAAAATAGAGAAAACTCAATAAACTTTTTGTGTATATTATTGAAAATCAAAGCCCTATATTTATAAGTAAGAATCAGGGATACAATGGTAATAATTTTTAGAGTTATAGGAGTACAAATGTCATTTACCAATAAATTTTAATGAACTTTCCATTTACAACAGAATAATATTTTTTTTTAAAAAAAATGGTTGACAAAGATGAAAATTTTTTCGATTTACGTATAATATATATTTTTATGAAAGATTATGCGTTTCAAAATAAAAGAGATAAAAATGAAATAAAATTTGACGGGGCAAACGAGGTTAAATTAATACCTTAAGAGATATGGAATCTTTAAAAATCATAAACATAGACTTCTAAAATATCTGAAGTCTTCAAAATAAAAAATATCCAAAATTCAAATGCACCCCAGTCCCCATACTGTGCACAGCAATTATTTAAAACCCAACCAAAATGACAATCTCACCCTGCAACTCCCATCACATTTTCTGAATCCTGCCATTTCTTAATCAATCTTTTCCTTCCTCCATCTAATTCAACTTCATTAAACAGATCATATTTCAAGTCAGAAAATTATTCATCGTCGTCGTTCCTCCACTAAACAGAGCAGCAACGAGAAATTTGAATCTAAAAGCGTCAATTTCCACAAACCAAACGTAATTGTTCATAATAAAAAACTTTTACCAGAATTCAAACCAAATCGAAATAAATTAAATTAATATAGGGCATACAAATGAAGACTAATCCATCGGAAACACTCGGCCATAAGAGGGCTTCTTTGTTTTTTCTTCTTAATAATAACACACTAAACTTAACCTCAATCTTTCGAGATCGAGCCCGATCTCCAAATTGTCTATTCGATTTAGTTTTTCGTCCCATTTGGAGTGAGCGAGTATGTATATGCGTGTTTGATAATTTTGATGCTCAGATCTTGACAATTTTGGCTGCTTTTACCAACGGATTTTCCTTCGCGATGGCCTCTCGTCCGGCAGCCTTGTAGTCATAGCTACAATCGTGCCGATCGGAGTAACGATGCTCAGCGCAGAAAAGTTCGCCGCAACGGCATCGGAATCCAGTCAACCCTACTTTCCTTCGGCAACCGGAGCACCGATTCACCTGCCTCTTCACTGTCACGCCATCAGTTAAATCCGATTTCTTCGGATCTTCATTCGTCTCCTCTGTATCCCTAACCAGAGAAAACCTGAAAACGGAGCTAGAACTGCAAGATTTATCGTCAAATAAAAAAGTTTTTTGCTGTGCTCCACCTCCCGATGTGGCAACCACTGAAGAAGCGGCGGTGGCGGAGGATGAAGCAGTTGTCGTGGTGTTGAAACACTTTTGGCATAAGTTATTAGTGGCAGAATTTCCTGCAACACCACAATTGACACAAAGTGACATCGTTTCAGGTACAACCTTGAACTCTGTCTCTTCCTTTTCAGTTTTGTGCGACATTTTCACTATATTCTAATTAAGCTTTACTTCAACAATTCAATAACAATATTAGTACCGTATATATAGAGAAAACTGAGAATTGTAGACATGGATCTGAAGCTGGATTCTGTGGGGGGATTTGATGGGGAAAAGGTCGGCTACGGTGAAGGAATAAGGGCCACAAATCAGGCAATTTGTGGCGTTTGAATAGACAAAAAAGCCCTCGGTGGGGTGTTTTTAGATCAACTATGACGTTTTATTGTGGGATATTTTATCAACCGACGAAGTGGTTAATTCAATATGTTAATATAATTAATTTATAATTATAGATAAAATCAGTGTTCTAAAAAGCATAATGCGTGGCGATACGTGGATGTCAAACTATGGGCTAAGCTAGAAGAGGCATAGGCGTAAAAAAACGTAAAAAAACATTTTCTTATTTTAATATTTTTTAAATTTTAATCAATCAAAAAATCTTTTAATGATAAAAAATAATGCATTATCAAATATCTAAACAAATTTATAGGAAATTTATACATTTTTTAAGAGCTTTCAACAAAAAGATAAGTTTCAAATATAAATATTAAATAGTAAATAAATAGATTTTTTTGGAGATTTTCTTTGTTCAATACTTCAAGTAGCTGTTTTCAATTTAAAATTGATGAAAGTGAAGAAATCAATATTTAAGTTTTAACTTAGAAGAATTGTAAAAAAAAAAAAAAAATTAAAAAAATAATTATGCTCGTCTAGACGCGCATAACCGCGCTTAGACATATATTAGCGGTCAAACAATTACTGTTGATCGCTAAATAAAGCGTCAAGCCGCTTAGTTCAATGTTTCTGCCAAGCATTGCTCATTGACGACGTCAATGCACGCTTTTTAGAACAATGAATAAAATAATTATTTGAAGAACGTCAAATTATGAAATACACATCGCCGTGAAATAGAGCACAGATGACTCAGTTGTAAAATTATGAAATTTTTCTTTCCTTTTTTTATGCTATTTATTGTTACCAAAAATTATAGTCGAGATCTTAATTGCAAGCAAAGGGAGGAGAACTAATATAAATTTGGGATGTTTGCTTCCAGTACCTAAAATAAAGGCTGCAATACATGTATTAATGAATGTAAACTATAAATTGTGAATAATGTCAAATAATGAATGAAACATATTATAGGTACATGCCCTGTTTCATAGGTCTGTATAGGATACACACGTGTGGTGGGTGGAGTGATATTTTTTTACAATATTTTAATTACATGAAGCTCATACTATGTGAGTGTTCTGTAAAAATTATGTAGATTATACCCATTTACATATAATATTTTCTATAATGAATAGAGATTGCATATTTATAGTACTTTATTGTAGGCCAATTTGGAATGGAACATCCGTAACATTCTATAAGGTCTGATGGATTAGGATTCCTAAATTTTTGTGCCATTGGAAGTTGAGTTTTGAGATAATCAACTCACCTATCAATATTTATGTTTTATGATTTTTTAATTTTTTTCCACAATAAAAAAATTCCAATAATTGATAACAACTTCAACTTGTACATGGCAACTTTTAGTTATGATTTTTTTTCCCACAATAAAAAATTCCAAGAATGAATATCAACTTCAAGCTGTACATGCCAACTTGCATAGTTTGTATCTTTTAATGACTAAATACAACGAACGTCTATGATAAATTGTAGAAGCACGCAATTTGATTGGCAGGGGTAAAATCGGAAGTTCACAGATCCTAGTTGATAAGGAAAAAGCTTTATTTGACCTTCCAGCTTTCACCCGCTCATTCTGACCGCCTTTTTCCTCTCTACCCACCAGCCGTGTGGAACACGCACCCATCACTCGGTCCACTTCTTTACCGTACGATATTATTGGTAAGATTGTCAATGAATTGAATTTTGATATGAATATAATAAAATTAATAAGAGATGAATTTAGAGTCTTAATCCGATAATTCAATCAAAATTCAAATTTGATAATCCGTTAACTAAATGAAATAAATATAAATATAGGTTAATACGATCCGATAACAACACAATCCAATTTATTATAACAATGCAATATAGACTCTGTTTGATTCACATTTTTAAATAGTGATTTGACATTATTTTAATCATATATGCTTCAATAAAATAATATTATATATAAATCTAAAAAAAAAATTCTTATTTTTTGATCACATATTTTTCATCAATACATTATTCAAAAATACATTATATTAAAAATAATGTGACTCAAACAAGGGCATATTTTATATACTATCGCATAATTTATTAAACATAATTTTTACTATTTTGAAATTTGTGTAATATTTTACACATAATTTTTAAATAATAAATAATATTATACAATAGTATAATATTATTAATTGAAGTATTTGAAGATATTTAATTTTGTATTAATTAAATAAAATAAAAATAACAATTAATTTATTTTATAAATTGAATAACCAAAAGAGCCAACAATTGGAGTTGCTTTTATTATTCTCAACTTCTCACTTTCTAGATCGAATAGTCACTAGAATATCATAAAATTTACAATCTATAAACAGATGGGCCAAGAATTGAATAAAAAACTATCTGAACCTTTTAATTTCAGGACTTAGAAGTTGACTAATATAAAATTTTCTCTTTCTAATTTTTTTTAAAATTCGGATCGGGTTATTAGATCAGATATACGATAATATAGCAAATTGAATATGGATTTAACAATCAAATATCCGTTGAATTATTGGATCGAATTGGATAATTATTCTTAAAAGATCAAATTAAATTTGGAAAGATCCGATCCATTTTCAACCCTAATTATTGGATGTTGGTAACGTGACACTAGATTAATCTTCCCCAGTATTCGAAAATTTATAATTCAACTTTGACACCAATTCTATGTGACACAATATATATGCCTTGAAAATTTCAATGTAATTATTTTAAGGATTTAAAGATGCATAAAGTTATGGTTTTGGAAAATGGATGGCAGTGATCGAACATTTACGATTAGTTTTACTAGCGAAGGAGTGGCGAAGCTTGGCCAAGGAGATCACGGGAAACCAGTAGCGGATTCAGGGTTAGATGTTAGCTAGGACGATCATTGATCGTCGATCGTAATTAGAGTTGTCAACGGTTCGGTTATGGGTCGATTCGACCAAAACCAAAATCGCACCACCAATTTTTTGATCATACCATAATCGCACTATAACCACGTAAATCGGTTCGGTTTGATTTGTATTTCAGTTCGGTACGATTCGGTTCGGTTAATAACCACGAAAATAAATTATTTTTTATAGGTTCATCCGTCAAATTGATATAAAATAATTTATAAAAAAAGTTAATGAGAACAAAAATACAATATTCTAAACGAAAATGCAATTCAAACAATATTCCAAACGAAAATGCAAACATTATCCTAATTTTCAATTGTAAAATACAAATTTAACAAACAATATTATAAATATAACAATACTAAACTTTTCCTTCATTCTTAATTGTTGTGCATCGAAGTTACTTGATTCATTCTTCCTCACAAGTTTTACTAGCATAGATCAACACTCAAAGTTGATTTCTATATAGTAAATAAGAAATGTTAGTAGAGAATACAACGATACTACCTATTCCAGAATGGTCTTAACTAAGATTTAAATAAAAAAAAATGTACCTCTTCGTCAGCTTCATTCTCGCTAAACGTTACACAAGCTCTAAAGTATGATGAACAAGTAATTTTTTTTACACACAATAGAAAAAATTAATAATAAAAGGAGCCGTGCATGAGTTTGTGGTTTGTGAAGAGTATAGTTTGCATTTATATACTGTCATACTAACGCTATTATTATGGGGTAATAGTAAGTGGGTTGGTCGGCTGAGTCATGTAGATGTAATGGGGGGGGGATTTTGTTTTGGGCTAGATAGAAAATAGTGTAAATTCCAATAATCAATTCAATTGTTTTTTTTTAAGCGGGTAATCGGTTCGATTTCGGTTCGACGGAGTAAATACCATACCCGCACCGCCACGAACCGGTTCATTAAAATAAAAATTATATCCGTCCCATTGTATCATCGGCTCGATTTTTTTTGTCCCATTCGGTCCGGTTAACCGCGATTTTCGATTTTGACGGTTCAAATTGCCATCTCTAATCGTAATGACAAAGTCAACTAGGTTCATTCCGTGACTAATAGTATTTTAAACCCGAATGAATCTTATATACTCGAGAGCATCGCAGCCCCCATCATAGACACTATGAGAAATTATCCCCATTAACCCAACACTTACTCCACCAGGCACCAAATCTATCATCTTATGAACCCGTCACGATACTCTAGAGGCGGGGCGACGAGGGACCCTTAATATTGGGGTTCAACCTTTATCTTCTTATGAACTCGTCATCAACATACGCAAAACATAATAATCAAGTCAATCTCACTATCCAAGTAGAAACTTGACACAAACAAAATCACAAGATGGTGAGATTATACCCTAATAGTAAACTTTTTATTTTGGACACTACAAGTCCAACAAGTTATTAAAAAAAACCACCATACCATAATAAAAAACGCAAACAAAACCAACAAAGAGATTCTATGAACATGTACAATACTCAACAACATAGAAAGTCTAAAATAATTTGACACAAAGTCAAAACACGAGAGTCCCATAAGCAAAACACAGAAGTCATTGTTTTGACATTAAAACACAAAACAATAAAGCATTATTATCAACTGCTGTTAAATCAAGATCAAAATAATCAAAGATTAACTAATAGGAACCCACCAATTCATTGTCCAACTCAATGGCATCATCACTGAGGACCTTCTTGTGACTTTGGTGGCTTCCACAGAACACAGTTTTTCTTGAACTTGCCATTGCTTCTTGTTTTGTTTTGAGCGCACAGTAGGACTACTGATGAGGGAGGGAGGGAGATTGGGAGGGTTTGCCGGTTTGCAAATTGCATTTGTTCTCTTATTCAAACCATTGGGCCAATTTTATTCCTAACTTTTTAAAGACAAGGCGCCCAAAAGAAAAGGCCCATAATTGAATAATAATAATAAAAAAAATAAATTCAAACTGTCATCTTTTCTGCTGAAGTCCTTTTCAAATTTTTTCACGGTAGCTATCGATGACAACTGTAAA